GAAGGTGAAATATACAGTTACTTGTTACCATGCAAAGCGTTTTGAAGCCTTGAGAAGGATATGTTGTCCATCCGAGATGGATTTCATCAGATCTCTTAGTCGTTGTAAGAAGTGGGGAGCCCAAGGTGGTAAGAGCAATGTCTTTTTTGCAAAAACCTTGGATGATAGATTTATCATTAAGCAAGTGACGAAGACTGAGCTGGAATCATTCATCAAGTTTGCTCCTGGATATTTTAAGTATCTTTCCGAATCACTTGGATCAGGTTGCCCAACATGCCTGGCAAAGATCCTTGGGATATATCAGGTATTTCCAAGAAGTCGTATCTGAATTGGCTTATTTGTTTAGTTCATAATTTCTTATTCACGCAATTAATTTCCTTTTATACGTTTGGGACTTGAGATTAATAGCTGACACACTTTCCTCCAGATCAAGTAACACACTTTTCATCTTATTAACTTGTAAAACACTACAATGTATTTAAGATAACTTCTACTTAAATGTGCTGCTTAAATGTTGGAGTACTCGGTGATGGCCCAAGAAACAGATTGCCTTCTTGTTTAACTTTAATATTTTGAATTCAAAATGGTTATTAAGCAGTCAGGTGTGCTGGCAGAATGGTACATACCTCTGCATTAGGGCAGTAACTCTGTAAGATTTCAGCTGAACGAGTGTGCTGGAAAGCCAGTCCTGATCTGGACTTTAACTTTTGGCATCATGCATAAAGTAGCTTCTACAACTACTCTATGGTTATATATTTAAATTCTCATTTGGTATTGCAAATGAGAATGGAATTATCCTGTACATTCTTTCTTTTATCAATATATTTCTGTTCTTATGAATGCAGTTTAATCACTCTAAAACTAGATTGAGATTTCATTTTTTTGCATTATGTTTACCGTGAAATACTGACACGGTCTTCCTTGGTATGTTGCGAAGGTTACATCAAAACATCTTAAAGGAGGAAAGGAATCAAAAATGGACGTGTTGGTTATGGAGAATCTTCTGTTTGGAAGAAATCTTACACGGCTTTATGATCTTAAAGGTTCTTCCAGGTCTCGGTACAATCCTGATTCTAGTGGAAGTAATAAGGTTTTGCTGGATCAAAACTTAATTGAAGCTATGCCTACTTCTCCAATTTTTGTTGGGAATAAAGCCAAGAGATTGTTAGAGAGAGCCGTCTGGAATGATACTGCTTTTCTCGCAGTAAGTTTATATATTCTCTGCTTATTATTGATAAATTCAGCACTTGTTACACTCACAGTAAAGCATAGACATGAAAGTTGGCATTGAACTGATCTGAAGAAAAGATTCATGTCCTTCATTCGTTTTCATTCCCCCTATAATAGAACCTGCATTTCAAAATGCTGATGGATTGAAATTGAATTTTGGAACTTTTAAGGTATGCAAAGCAAAATGTATCTGCCTATATGTCTCTCGTCTGCACTGTGTGCTGTATCATGCATTTCTAAGTTTGCTCTTTGCTCATGTCTATTATTGTTTTTTTTTATTATTATTATTAATTATTATAAGAGCTTGTGTCCATACTAGTAATCAACATTTGCTTTAGAATGTAAGAGGAACGGAATCCTAGGATATCAAAGCAGTCTATATATACAGAAAAAGCCTGATTATTGCTCCAAACCATCCACGAAACCATCTCACTTATGCTAATTAAGCTAATCGTGAACTTGCAGTCTATAGACGTAATGGATTATTCACTTCTAGTTGGGGTTGATGAAGAGAAGCACGAGCTTGTTCTTGGGATCATTGACTTCATGAGACAGTACACTTGGGACAAGCACCTCGAGACTTGGGTGAAGACGGCAGGCATACTTGGTGGCCCCAAGAACGCTTCCCCAACCGTAATTTCGCCAAAGCAATACAAGAAGAGGTTCAGGAAAGCAATGACTACATATTTTCTGATGGTTCCCGATCAATGGTCACCTCCTACAATCATTCCTAGTAAGTCACAGATGGATTTATGCGAAGAGAGCGCACAGGGTGTTTCCTCTACCGAGTAAACTCTGTTTTACTTGTAAATTTGAACCTACTAGTTCGGAATTGAATTCCCTAGTTGATTTTCCATTTTCATATATACCTTTTTCCTATATTTCAATTTTTTTTTTTTCGGAAGGCAGTTCCATTTGGATTTTCTTTACAGTGAGAATTCATGATTATTTCAACAAGGCTGCTATTCCCATGGAAAATCTCCTCATAAAAATATATGTTACCCATAACGTTTTTGTACAATGTTTTTAGCTCTCTCTCTCTCTCTCTCTCTCTCTCTCTCTCTCTCTCTCTCTCTCTCTCTCTCTCCCTCCAGTTCTTGTAATGCTTAGAATTCTCGAGTTGTATATGATTTGGAATATGTTAAGTGCAATTTTTGTGTAATATTTGATGTTCAAAATTTCTTGTAATTTCATTTTAGTCACTCAACTGCTTGTTAGTACATTTAAATCACCCACATTTTAAATACTGTTTTAGTTTGGTCTTCCGTCCAAAAATATCATATGAGTAACAACATTTGCATGTTGCCATTAGTTATGACGTTGAATGTGCAATATCGTGCTTTTCTTAGGAAACATCATGCTTACGAAAACACGTTTTCCTTGTTATAGTTTCACTCAATTTAAGAGAAAAAAGCACGTACACATTTTTAGATGACTTAACATTTTGACAATCGTCTTTATTTTCTTGTAAGTGATTTACGTGGAGATGTATGGAAATAAAGGTCCAGAGTGAGAAAAAGAGCGAAGTTCGTTGGAGATATTATAAAAAGAATAGCGTGATGATGATTTTTTTATTTTTTATTTTTATAAAGAGATGGTTAAAGTACGGAAATAAAGGTCCAAAGTGAGAAAAAGAGCGAAGTTCCTTGGAGATATTATAAAAAGAATAGCATCATGATGATTTTTTTTTAATTTTTTATTCTTATAAAGAGATGCCTTTATTTGATGCAAAATACACGAGTTTTTGTTCATAGCATAAATATAGTGATAGGCTAATTTTATTTGTTGATAATCTTTACGGTAATGTTTCTTGTAAATTCTCTGATTGATATATGGGAAACTCTATTCAATTCTCGATGGAAGTAGAACTTTGCGAATTCTTCCAAAATCTGGAAGTTGAATTTAAAAAAAATAAAAAATAAAAAGGAAAATAAAAATCACTATCTTTGTTGATATCCAACCTCACCACGAAGTACCGATTTGGTGGTAAGCCAACCTCACCAAACGACCTCATTAAATAAGTTGGATACATGCATTAAGCTCATACTAATATAATGTCGGATATGTGAGGTCAACTAAGCTCCTACTAATATGAGGTCGGATATATGAGGTCATTTTGGGATTCAGGGGAACATAATGATTAAAAATTCCTTACACACTATCAAACGTCCAATTAATCAAATACATTTGAATAGGCTAATGACAGCACCTTTTAATTCCACCAATCATATGTCTTTGCTTCCTCCCATAAGTAATTCATTAATTACTGGAGACCACTTGTAAAGTTAAACTCATGATGACTTGACAAGTCGAACTCATTAAACCAATCCAAGCCTGCCAATTGTTAATGAATTGAGCTGACGAACTGGGCTTTAAGATCGGACAAGTCAGATTAAAACACATACGCTCTGCAGTGTGAGTTCGACTCGATGAGTGGCATGTCTAGAAATATCTTGTAGTCTTTCAAGGAGGTTCTAATGATTACAAATCACTGACAAAACAACAAACCAGCCAATCAGAGGGATCCACAGGGAACGATCTTACATCAATGCTTACATAAGCTCTGATCCAAGAGTTAAGCTCCCTTCCCAAAGATAACTTCATTAATTGCTAAAATCCACATGTGAGAGTTGATTATCATGACTATTGGATCGAGTTCGGAGGCTAATGGAATCATTCCACCATGTGTACTTCCTCAGCTCAGAATTGCAGGTGACAAAATAGGTAATTAATGAAACGTGTATTTTCTTCTATAAAAGAGAGAATAATGATGAAGAAGGGGGAGAACTTGAACTCATGAGAACTCTTCCTACGTTATTCATACTTTGAATATCTCATTTGACAAGATCAAAGAAAACCACTTGTAGTTTACTCTTGTGATTTACAAGTCATTATCAGTAAAAATAATCATTTACACTCTAAGTTGGTTTGAATTTTATTCATACAATTTTCGACGTCAACAATCTTTAAGAGTGAATTGTCCTTAACTACTCGGCACGTTAAAACAACTTTCTCGAGAGCCTGTGGAGGGGGTCGTGTTAATCCTGAACTTCAATTTATTTCCAACTCAATCCCTAAATCTCAATTGAAGAATTTATAAATAGTAGTGTGTGGATAGTTTGTGATTGACATTAATTGAATTTATTAAGCCCTATTTGACAATTATTATTTGAATTTTTTTTAATCACACATTCATACAATAAAATATTTTGCACGTAAATTTAAAATTATTTCCTACTTTTTAATCACACGTTCTTCTAAAATCATTATTCAGAACTTTGTTTTTTACAAAATAATAATTGTCAAACATTGGGTAAATTCAAGTCAAACTATCGTGTATATGCCGAATAAAATGACTATTTATAGTTTTCGTATTGAATAGTATTACTCAAACTTTTACTAAAAAAAAATTGTGTAGTAACTAACCGCATATGAAACTCACCGTATCGTGAGAAGGGAAAAGGAAAGGACAAGGAAATGTAAGTGAAATATCAAAAGTTCTATCGTATCATTATCCAGACCAGCGGCTGTGACCATTTGGACAGAACAAAACACCGCTAAATTGTGGCTCTGGCTCTCCCTCTCCCTCTCCCTCTGGCGGTGTTCTTCCAAATCTCCTTTCCCGCGGTGCTTAATTTCTTCACTCTAATAGCAAAATTGGAACTAGTATTGATATAGTAGTTTCAGTGGGTAGATGGAATCTCTACTCAACGCAACAATCAGTATTTTAATCTAAACACTACTCTACTGTGTGCTTGGATGACCTCCCCATGCCTTTGTTAGGTAAGGAAACCATTTACTTTATTTGTATTTTACTGGTAATTCATAAATTTGGCTATCTTGAATGTGCTGTGTGGGTGTGGCATTTTAGATTCTTTTATGTTTCTGTATACATTTTTGATACCTGATTTGAACTCTAGATAAATGAATTGGAGTAACTCTCAATTATGAATCTGAAATTTACGTTGAAAATTATCTTGCAGATATTGCTACTGCACACCCTTGTTCTTGTTTTCATAACAATATATTAGCTGTTAAGTCTCAGATTCAGTTTCGTAATAAATTTGTATCTGGCAATGAGAGGAGATTGGCACTGTCATTTTCTTGGAAATCTTTCTGTATTGGGGAAACAGTTAAAAAATTTAACTTGGAGAGTGTTGGAGTATGGCGGGGTGGATTGATGATAAAGGCAGTTGCTACCCTTGAATCCACTTGTGTAACCCGGAAAAGTGAAGAGGTGAAAGAGTATCAAAACACTTGGGGGATGAATATTGATTCAAGAAACTTTAATTCCTCCATGTATGAGCCACGATCTTCGAGTGAGGACCCAACAGAAGTAGATGAAAGGGAGAAGTTGAGGCGGATGAGGATCTCCAAAGCAAATAAAGGGAACACGCCTTGGAACAAAGGCAAGAAGCACAGTCCAGGTAAAATAATAACAGAGATTTTGAAATGTTTAAAGTATGTTATGGTAGAACTTGAATAATTACAAGAGCTTTGAATATGTGCAGAAACCCGGCAGCGGATTAGAGAGAGAACCAGGATTGCAATGCAGGATCCTAAGGTGATGTCATGTAAGAAACTAGTTTTACACAAATCCCAAAACAAATTCGAAAATATCCGGAAGATTAAGATTTTAAATGATGAAGATCAGGGTATTGTGAAATCACATCACATGCTAGAAATTATAGCATTTGCTGGATAACTTAGTTTAGACTTGAAGCTTTCGACTGCACCACTGGGATTAAAAAGGTTTTTGTACTGCTTCAACATGAAGTCTCTATTATACCAGTATTTGCATATTTGTGAGATGCCTCATCGGTGTTCTTGAAATCACTCCATCCATTACCTCTATGTATATATTTATGTTTTTTTGGGTTGTAGTGTGTGATCAAGTGATCCTTTTCTCCTTCATCATCAATCTCGCTTAAATCCTATAATAACTTGAATAATTTGTTGAACAACATTTCAAGTTCTGATCATGAGCTAACACCAGCATATCTTAAATTCGTTACGTTAACATAGTAATGTCTGCTTGTTATCTTACTATCAGTGTTTTGAGATTGTAATTTGCATTGACGAGTTTAGTGTACACAGGTCAAAATGAAGTTAGCTAACCTGGGGCATGCTCAAAGGTGTGTTTTGCTATGTCATATATTTTCATTTGAGATCATTTCTGGTTTTGCTTATCTCAACTGTTATATTTATGATTGAATTCAGAAGTAACGATAATAGATTCATTATTATAGAAGTACCTTGTTCAGGTAGACTAGCTGCATGCTGATCCATTTATTGAGGTAGCTAAAAGTTTTGGTTGACTTGGCTTTCGACACGTTGTAGCTCGCCATCTGCTGAACTACTTTAAATCTCAACTTCACTAAAATGTTATCTTCTCTTTGTTAATGGTTTGTTGATGCTTTTGATCGATTATTGAAACTTGCCATTTAAGTTTTGTGACATTATACACTATGGATTTTTTAAGCCCATTGGTTACTTGTGGCTGTGGTCTATTTAAAGTTTTGCTAGAAGAATGGACATTTTGATCTTCAATTACAGTTTCTGCATCGTTACACCACATTTCTTTTTTGCTGAATATACAGTGAAGAAACAAGGATGAGAATCGGTGTTGGTGTCCGACTAGGGTGGGAAAAACGCCGTGAGAAGTTGACGTTACAGGAGACTGGCTTCTATGAGTGGCAGAATTTAATTGCTGATACTGCCAGAAGGGGTGTTCTTGGTGAGGAAGAATTGCAGTGGGATTCATATAAGGTTTTGAATGAACAGCTTGAGCTGGAGTGGTTACAGAGTGTTGAACAGCGGAAAAGGATGTCAAGGCCAAAGGGAAGCAAGAGAGCACCCAAGTCTGCTGAGCAGAGGAGGAAGATTTCAGAGGCCATCTCTGCCAAATGGGCGGATCCAGTAAAAACTTTTTTAATTTCAAATTTTACTTTCCTATTGTTTGGGTTGTGGTTAAAATGACATCTTAGCCTCTGTTAATTTATAAACGATTTATAGATCATTTATACCTGGTCAAACTTCAACCAAACTTTTCAATGCATGTATTATCCACCACTCATATCTATCTATTTGTAAATTAAACCGTTTATAAATTCTTCTTAAAACAGAGTCTTATATTGATATTTAAAAATGATCTGTGTATTAAGCAAGTGCTACCTATCTTTAATTAGTGTTCAATTTGAAGACATTAATTGTAGCTTGGTTTCCATGATTTCATGCTCACTGATTTGATTCATCTTGCATATTTCATGCAATTTTATGAAGCAGTTCTATCCTTTTCTTATAATTCTTTCTTTTTCTGTTTCGTTTGGTACTACCAGGCATACCGTAATCGGGTTTGCTCTGCCCTGGCTAAATTTCATGGCATACCAGATGTTGTTGAAAGAAAGCCTCGTAGAAAACCAAGCGAAGGTGGTCAGACCAGAAAAAGAAGTCCCCCTAAAAAGAAGGTTAATGAGAAAGATAATCTTTCGAAGCCTGAGAATGAGAATGAAATTTTACGAATTAGATTGAAGAGAAATAATACACCTCTGTACAAGGATCCTTTGGCAAGTTCAAAGTTGGAGATGTTAAAGAATATCAGAACACAGAGAGCTGCTGCTGAAAACAAAAAAATTGAAGCCGTTGCTAGAGCAAAGTAAGTTGCCATTTTATATATTTGTTTTACCTTTAGATCAACAGTCACGTTACTTTTGTCATGCGTTAGTAGTTTAGTGTATATTGCTTCCAGTGAATCTAGGAATCTATGAAGGAAACAAGGAGATCATAGAGCAAAGAAGTAAACGAAATGGACAAGGAATCCACTCAATTTACCTTTTTTATGCCCATGCTCTTATGCTAAATGATAGGGATCTTGTGAAAGTTTGAACTCTCTGGTTTCTTCGTTGTTAAACAAAAAAATTGCCCACTTTTTATCGAACTCGAGCATGGGAAATTTGTCACGACGGAGAATCTGGAAATTAACAGAGCATCCTGTGTGATAAAACAATTTGCAGGTTATTGATTGCTGAAGCTGAGAAGGCTGCAGCGGCCCTTGAAATTGCTGCAAAGAGTAGCCCTCTTGCTCAGGCTTCCCTAGTTGAAACCAGAATGCTTATTGCTGAAGCAATTCAGTCCATTGAATCCATAAAGCAAGGAGATCTAGTCTCCGACCAATATGACAGTAATTTTCAGGCTTCATCCAAATTAGTACCCCATTTTGAAGAGGATATAAGTGCAGAAATCGTAAGTCCGAATCTTTTTGATCCAAGAAAAGTAAATGGAGATCAAAGCTCATGGTCAAGCGATATTGAAGCTGGGGATGTCGAGCTTGATGTTTTGCGAGATTTGCTGAATGGAAATGCGTCGATGTCTTATGACAAGGGTTTACTGAAAATAGGGGGAAAACATCTTAAAACTTCTAGTGATTTTCCTCCTATAGAGTTGAACAGCATGACGAAGCACTCCAACTTCATAAAACAGCTTGCTGATGATCCTAAACCAATTGAGATCGATGGGTTGGCACAAAAACTACCAAACGGGTTGAAATTTCAATCTGAGAATGCAGCACCTCCGAAACAAGTAACCGTAACCAAGAAATACATTGGTGGGAGGCTGGTTGAAGTTGCGGAAGAAAAATAGGTTAGTTTTTGTATCTTAGACTTGATGCATCGACTTCCATCCCCTTTCAAGAGGTATGGAGTGTACTATAATTGCCTCAAATTTTCGATACATATTTATCTCAACCTATTTATTGATGTTAAGTTAGTTCATAGTTACTAGAGAGTTTTATGTAACATATCACGAGTATTATGGTATTAAGAGCTTCATCTGGTTTCCCTTGAATAATGACTGGACAATAATAGTGTTATGTCCAATACTTCTGAATCTCAGATATCCTTAATATTTGTGGAAAACCCCTTTCATAGGCCGGTCCCTACCATGATAGGGAGACCAGCTCGATATTCGAATGTTCATTTGACATGATAAATTTGTATGTAATATATTTCATCTGAGTGACTGAGCAATGAAATCTTCCTTTGTTGACCTTCAATTACTGAATCTAATCATTCACGAAAAGTAGGAAATTCTGTCATCCTAATTTTCTAGTCAGGTGTCGAGTCTATTCGGCAATTACTTGCAACTAAGGGCAATCTTGAAATGGTGTCAAGTGATGACCACGAGCTCTTAATGTGGAGAAGAATATGCACATGCTAAAACAAGTGAGCATTAAGCGAGCTTTCCTAAGCTACTTACGACTCTTCACTTTTTTCTTATAAATTTCACCATATTCATTGACTTAACTTTGAGACTCGTTGCCGAGACATCTCTTTTGATGTACGTCATTGATACATATTTAAAAATTGACGGTGTATCAAATTGAACATTAAGAAGATAAACCTTGTTATATGAATTAAATACTTTGCATAATTGGTATAGACCAAATTTGACAAAACATGTTAGCACATGCCCCAGTTGGTTGCCAACTTAGTTACGAGGTCGGAGTTGGTTGCCAAATAGTACCAATTCAGCAGCGAAAAGAAGTTGGTGGATGAATTAAAGTTATAGAAATGCAGTAAATAAACTCAAGGCACAAGCTTTTCATGAACAACGTCAAGTAATTACAAGAGGGGACGAGGATGGATCGTTCCAAAGCTCTGCAGCTTTGACTCTGGAAATACTCTCTAATACTTGAAAAGGAACAATGTCCCCTGTGACAACCACCATTTTTGTTACCAGGTCTACTTGATATGAACTCACCCCTGTACATATATTTTCGATTAATTTCAATCATATTCGATGACCACGACGATTAATTTATTTCTTGAATGTACTCTATAGAAATCAGACAAAACGATATATTTTAAAATAAATATAATCTTGTACCGTGTGCCCACGTACCTTCCATCTTCGCTATATGCTTCTCGATTTTTCTTGCGCAACCATTACAGTGCATGGATACTCTCAGAACCACCATCTACATATAGTGTAAGTAACAAATAAAAACATAAAGAAAACATTAGCTTAACTAATAACATGTTTGGCTGTGATTATAAGTAGCTTATTTGATCATAGGTACGTGCCTTAGGCTTAAGTTGGAAAGCCAGAGAAGGTGTTCCAGCTATAATGTCTTTGACTCTCAACAATGGACCAACTACTTCGTCAGTTTTTGCAATTAGTGGCTTTTCTTCGAATTCTTCTTCTTCTTCTTCTTCTTCGTTCCCACAGTTAGCACTAATGCAAAAGCAAGAACCCGAGCCAGAGCCAGAGCCAGAGCCAGAAGAAAAACATATACGGTCCAACACCCTCCTGAAATTCAACTTCCTCATCCTATCGATCCCTGATTACTCCGTGAGATACTATAATTTACCACAACCACCCACCGCGGTCCATTTGTGTCCTCTGTAAAAGAGAGGACAATGAGAAAGCATACACACGTATATATAATTTGAGAAACCAATGAAGCTAATGCTAGTAAAAGAGAGCCATGAGTCAAGACCCACTTTCCTAGGGTGAACAAATGGGAATCGGAATACACAAATGTCACGCCTAAACTATAATCTGTCCAACCAGATTTTGAATTTTAATGATTAATGATGTCTTGTCGGTTGGAATATATGAATTGTTCCATTTTTCTAAGAAGGCCTGACTCATGTGACATTACCTGCCCAAATTATTTTCTAAAGCAGCCATTAAAGTCAAAAGTGTTGGTAAAAATTGATGTCTAAAGTTTCCATTATAAATTTGCATATAAAAAAAGGTATTTATGAATGCTTTGCGTCCAAAATAAACGTGCCAACTATTTCTATAACGAGCATTATAGAGATCTATTCAGATTTGGAGTTGCATCCAGTGGTTCTTGAGAATTGGACCGAATCGATTCCATTGAGAATAGTGGAAATGGAACCAATGGTTCTACAGTCGTAAATGCGTTCGGTTCAAGTTTGGTCCAATCCAGTTCTTTTGTGTTTCAAAAATAAGTTGTAAAGTGTAAAATATCGTGCAAGGTTTTTTGGTTTCACTTTCACGTATTTTGTATTAGGCGAGAAAAATTATTGATTATTATGAATAATGTAAATTCTTATAATTATGATTTCATTGAATAATCAAAAAAAGAAAAAAAAAAAGTTTTGAACCAAAAAAGTAAAATATTTTATTGTGAGAATGTGGTTAAAAATGAGTTCGAGAAAAAACGATTTTTGGGCTGACAATTGAGTGGAGGCATTCGAGCAAGTTCGTCAGTATCAATAGTTTGACTAATCCACAAATTATTTTATTATCACCTTTTCATTTTCATAAATTAGGTCATCTTACGAAAACTGAAAACATATATTAATCTTGTCGACGAAAGAAGACAATGGGTGGCAGTGGCTCTGCTGCAATGTAAATATTAACTAAGACATCTCTATATGCCATTTTTCGGTATACATGTAAAATATTTTATCGTGAAAATGTGGTTAATAATGAGTTTTGAGGAAAAAAAAAAAAAGAATTTTGAGCTAACAATTAAGTAGAACACACAACATGAGTTGAGGCATCTAAGCTAAGTTCGTCACTATCTATAATTTAGACTAATCCACAAATTATTTTATTGTCACCTTTTCATTTTCATAAATTAGGTCATCTTACGAAAACTGAAAACATATATTAATATTGTCGATGAAAGAAGACAATGGGGTGGCTCAAGGTCTGCTGCAATATAAATATTAACTAAGACATCTCTATATGCCAATGATGCCATCGTATCGAGTAGGGTAAATTTCATCTGCGATCGTTGAACTTTCAATGAAATCTCAATTGGGTTATTAAAACGTGAGTCATACCAATGGAAATTGCTTGGTTATATCGCTACGAATCGTACACTAAATTGCTCTATCACATGCTAATTTACTGCTTTGCCATTTCAAGAAAGTGCCAAAATTAAAAAAATATGCAATTTAACTAATGACATTTCCAAAACTTAGATCTTTAGTGCTCTCACCTTACTCAATATGGCTGTATTAGCAAAGCGTGACGTGTCGGACTGATTCAAGACCTATTTCTTTATGAGTAACAGGAGATGCACAAAGTGCTTTCAATGGTATTATTGAGTTCCCATCAACGATTTTATCAACAATGAAATCAATGGCTTTGGCCTTGGGATTCATCTATCGGTATCAAAGGGAGAAGAAGAAAAAGCATCGACTTTTTATTGGAGCTAACAGCCGCTGTAACGAGCATATCAACTTGACCAACAAGCCGAAGTAGCCGTAAGGCCGTTATCATGAATTCAAATACTTCATTTCCTGATAGTTTCAGTCTTTATATTGTCATTTTCGCTTCTACTAGTATACCACGCAATCATTGTGGGAAGTCATCACGATCTATATGACCATCAATCAAGCAATCTGCTTCAATTTGTGGGACTACACATAACAAAATGTGATATATCGATGAAACTTCAATGCCCATCGATTCAAATTAAAGTTCAACAATTCAATTGAGATTTTGCTCAAAGTTGATTGACTGTAGATGAAATTCACTCTATCAAGGATAACGAGGGGTAGATGGTTCTATTAATTATTGAAGTACACCTGTAGCTTCATTATTGGATGGTTGAATTATGTTATTTTCTCCAGCTTGGTCCATGTGATAATGCCTCCACAGTAGACAAGTTAAAAAAGGGCAAGAGATTATTCGTCTTATGCATGCAAGTGTGGCTCCATGTGATTATGAACCTTGATAGCTAGAAAGCATTAGCAACATGCAGTTGCATTAAAATGTGCCTTTTCATTCTTTCCAAGAAACTAAAGAAATTTCTATTTCGGATGTTACTATGAAAATATTCTTTGTCCTCAGTAGTACTAAATGGCCAACCTAAATTATGTCTCGATATTATGTCGATTAGTTGTACTTCTTTTTGTCATCGTTATGGCTTTCTTTTCTAGTTAATATCTAATAGGATTAAGATGTAAATAGATCATAAACACTTTCCGGTTCACTTGTTTCGAAATTTGCACACGTAGCGCTGTCATTAAGCGTGACGTGTCGGACTGATTCAAAACCTATTTATCGGTAATAGGAGATGTACAAAGTGCTTTCAGTGGTATTATCGAGTTCCCATCAACGATTTTATCCACAATGAAATCAATGGCTTTGGTCTTGGAATTCATCTATGAAGGGAGAAGAAAAAGCATTAACTTTTTTTTGGAACTAACAACCGCTGTAACGAGCATATCAACTTGACCAACAAGCCGAAGTAGCCGTAAGGCCGTTATCATGAGTTCAAATACTTCATTTCCTGATAGTTTCAGTCTTTATATTGTCATTTTCGTTTCTACTAGTATACCACACAATCATTATGTGGAGCCATCACGATCGATATGACCATCAATCAAGCAATCTGCTTCAATTTGTGGGACTACACATAACAAAATGTGATATATCGATGAAACTTCAATACCCATCGATTCAAATTAAAGTTCAACAATTCAATTGAGATTTTGCTCAAAGTTGATTGACTGTAGATGAAATTCACTCTATCAAGGATAACCAGGGGTAGATGGTTCTATTAATTATTGAAGTACACCTGTAGCTTCATTATTGGATGGTTGAATTATGTAATTTTCTCCAGCTTGGTCCATGTGATAATGCCTCCACAGTAGACAAGTTAAAAAAGGGCAAGAGATTATTCGTCTTATGCATGCAAGTGTGGCTCCATGTGATTATGAACCTTTCTAGCTAGAAAGCATTAGCAACATGCAGTTGCATTAAAATGTGACTTTTCATTCTTTCCAAGAAACTAAAGAAATTTCTATTTCGGATGTTACTATGAAAATATTCTTTGTCCTCAATAGTACTAAATGGCCAAACTAAATTATGTCTCGATATTATGTCGATTAGTTGTACTTTTTCTTGTCATCGTTATGACTTTCTTTTCTAATTAATATCTAATAGGATTAAGATGTAAATAGATCATAAACACTTTCCGGTTCACTTGTTTCAAAATTTGCACACGTAGCGCTGTCATTATCGTTATGGCTTTCTTTTCTAGTTAATATCTAATAGGATTAAGATGTAAATAGATCATAAACACTTTCCGGTGCACTTGTTTCGAAATTTGCACACGTTGCGCTGTCATCTTGCAAAGGTAGCCATCCAAAAGGATGGGCCGACGGCCATTTACACTTAGATATTCAAGTTAGTTTGTTGGAAATAGGAACAAGTATGGAAGAGAAATAAAATGGATGGAGATTTGGCTAGAAGTTTGATTTTCAAAGCTTTTCCTTCAGGTTACAAGGAGCAATTATAAGAAAGTTAAGGTTGTGAGTATTTTAAACCTTTTATATCTCTGGGCACACTAATTGGTGCCATATGTCTTTCACTAATTAGTAAGATTATTGTCAACAACTCATTTGTTTGATGCTCTTTGCATTTTTAACGGTTTTTAGCTCACGTGATAGATGGCCACTAATCTCGTGGTAGAATAATTCTAGTGTTCCTTTATTTGATACAAATAATATATATACATATATATTGTTGGATAAAATAATAGTAAAGTGCAGAAAAACTTATCAAAAGATCGAGTCTCGTGACAGCACGATGTCTTAAAGTGAAATTGCCCGTCGATAACTGCTGCGACCTCTGTGGACAATTACCTCCAGGATACAACAATCAAATAAACCAATTGTGCAGCAATCACAAAAGGTTTTCAGAACTCTCAAGTGTACTCCAGAAATATGTAAAACTAAGAACAATATTTTTTCTGTATAGAAATATATAATCTCGTTTTTCTTGTT